CGCTAAACTAATTGTTCGGCCAATTGACTAATTTGTTATTATGGTAAGGCGAAATTTATGAATATCTCCGGATCGAGTGCCCCATTGCGGTCTTTTCTGAAACATACTGTTTTGTTCCTGAAAAATAAAATTGCAGAGGACTCTAATGATCAAGAGTGATTTAAATTTCATTACCTGTAATTGGAATTTTTTTTTAGAGAACAAGCGACGTGTCTGACGCACAGTGAAAGCTTCAGCAGTGTTAGCTCAAGCGAATCGATCATCGAATTTCCAATTGAAGTTAATCGGACAGTTTCACCACAAGACGATACGGATAATGATTCCGGTAGCTTGATTATTTGTATTCTTACATTTTCCGCCAATCATTTGACTGCTTCCACTCAAAATGACGGAGCATTTGGCTTTTGGTCGGAGGCAAAATTCCCATCAAAGGGGAGGCACAAAAATGGTGTTTAAGCTGGTCGGATGGATTGTAAATTTGGTGATCCAGCTGGTCACCTTGCAATTCCCTATTTTAATTTTCGGGTTTATTTGTCTCAGTTTATCAAGTACTGTCTCATTCTCGGCTATTAACTTGCTTGTAAGCCATCTTTGAAAGAAGGAACTTGCAGGTGGGTATTTGCTACTGGCATTTGCTATCTTCGGGGCACCTGCAAGTCCCTGCTCTTCTTACAAGTAGTGAATATGGAGGAAGTTTTGACTCTTATTATACTAACTTTATTGTTATATTTTGATTGTGGAATTGGAACTCTGCTCTTCTTACTGCTTTCATTCTAGCGCTAACCGGAAGTGTCGGGAGTGATTGTGAGCTCTTCTACGGGCCGATATTTTCCATTGAGAATTCAGCGCTGGATACAAATACGGCTATGCGAAGCGCATTAAATTGTCCTGTGAAATACATCACCAAAGTTAGTTAAAATCAACCTATTTATTCGTTACGAGATGAGAACCAATAAAAGAATTATGGAAAATAAGAGCATGATTTTTCAGTTTTTAGTGACACTTAGACTGCCAGTTTACTATGGAATATTGCTAAACTGGTATCCAGTACTCTCCTTATTGATAAAAATTATAGAAAAATTTCATCGGATTTAAAAAGGCAATTTTGCAAGAATACCGGAAGCACTTGAGCAGGTGGTGCAGGTATCCCATATTCGTGATATTACTGAACTGCTCCCAAAGGCCGTTTGAATCTGAGAATAGTCGGCGAGTGCTTGGTGCTTTATAGGAAATTTGATGCAGCTTTGGAGAAGTTATGTTTTCGACAAATAGATTTCAGGAGCCTCCACTGCTGGCTTTGGAGAATTACTGTTTCGTGATTGACGGTGATAAAGTTGATGTTGATAGAATAACCGAAAATTCGGTAGGCTGGTGGAAACCAACAGGATCCAACATTCGGTATTACTGTACCGAGCAAATGAAAACTTTTTATCAGGTAAAATTTCGTTTCTAGTTTCACTTTAGTATTTTCACAGTAATACAATATTAGGAACTCTATCAACATTTTTCTTGTATAGCTGCGTGCGGTGCGTGCGAGCATCTCAGTAACATCACTAACATGGGATACCCACAGTGATTGTTTTTGCAGCTACGGGATATTTTTGACATATATTATTGACAGTACAGTACATGGTATTGTTGATTTTTATGCGTTTTTGCTGTGCAGCGTTGCTATAGCGCTGCTACAGCCAGCAAAAACGCATATTGTCGAGAGGCTGTCTGTGAGTGTGTGTGT